AAGTTCTTTACAGTTAGGGCGATGAGGAACTGGAACAGGTTGCCCAACCAAGTGGTAAATGCTCCATCCCTGGCAGTGTTCAAGGCCAGGTTGAACGGAGTCTTGGGTGACATGGTTTAGTGCGTGGTATCCCTGCCCATGGCAGGGGGATTGGAACTAGATGATCTTAAGGTCCTTTCCAACCCTAACCAATCTATGACTGATTCAGTCAGCTGATCGGAGCTAGCCCAGCTAGAGCCGCAGCTGGCACGCTTCAGCAACTGCGAGGTTCAACAGAGATTAGGAAAATCAGAGGGGATAGCGCAGAGGCATCGCACTTCCCGACATCTCCCGATCCCCGAAGCCCCAGCAGCCCTTGCGAGAGAGCGGCTGATGTGGCGGGGGGTGTTCCCACGGTGACAGCGACCACCCCCCTGCCCTTTGCCTTGAAAGAGCCTTTGAGAGAGCAGCGACGTGTCGCTGCCCACTAGGCGCAGGGAGGAACAAGTAGGTTGTGTTGCTCACCCTGTTGCTGGTGTCCCAGACTGCTGACCAATATGGTCGCCTCCAGAAAGAGAGGTTGCAATAAGAAGACTGTAGCAACTCAGAGACCCCATCCCAAACCGTGGCTGTTCAGGTCTCTGGATGCAGGGAGTGCCAGAGCCGCCTGCTGCCGGGGGAGGGAGGACAGCATTCCACCTGTGTGAGGTGTGAGCAGGTAGAATATCTGCTTAGCTTTGTGGCAAAACTTAAGGAGGAAGTTGAGACGCTGAGGACCATGGCAGGGGTTTGGAACTAGATGATCTTAAGGTCCTTTCCAATCCTAACTATTCTATGATTCTATGATTCTATTTCTGAATGCTGGAGAACAGAAAAAATGCATTAAACATGCTTGAATAAGAAATCCCAGTGTTTTTATGTGTGCTAAATCTTGTTTAGAGTTACTTTTGTGGGAAACTTATCCCAGTGTAATTAAAATATAAAAACATCTACTCTTTCTTTTAAACCAAGACAAATGTCTAGTTTTCCATCCAAAAAAGAAAAAAAAAGATGTAAAAAACTTCAAAGTTGCCTGGTTTTGCATAGATAAATGTTGTTTCATGATTTCCCATTTTTTTCCAATGAAAATTTCCAAGTTTTCTGTTGGATAAACACCTATTTCCTGAAAAGTGTTTTGGCATATCTGATTTTGCATAGAAAAGAGACAGTACTATTTTTTTCACCTTGTAAATATCACACAAGCTATCTCCCTGCTATCTACATTTAGTCTAGAATCTCTGGTATTTGGAAATGTATTTTACTGAAATCTTTTCACACCTGAACTGATTTGGAGGATGAACAAAGACCTTCAAAACTATTTTATATGCATACTGTTGAGGTTGAATAAATAAACCAGATCCACACTATTTTCATTAGTATACAGTGAAAGGATAAAAGGCTGTGGTCAGAAATCAAAATATAGGAAATTGCATTTAAACATAAAAAATGTTGGAAGTGTGGGGTGGGGTGTGTTGGTTGTTTGTTTAATATAGAGGCAGTTGAACATTGAATCCGTTTTCCCTGGAAGGCTGTGAAGTCTCCATGTTTGAGATATTCAAAACGCAACTGTACATGGTCTTGGGCAACCTGTTCTAGCTGATAATGCTTTGAGCTAGGGGTTTGGACTAGACAGTCTCCAGAGGTGCCTTTCAACTAAATGACATTTCTTGGTTTACAGTTTGTGCCCATTGCCCATCATCCTGCCACTGAGCACCGCTGAGAAGAGTCTGGCTCAGTCTTTTACTCCTTCCCATCAGGTATTTATACATATTGATAAGATCCCTATGTTGTAGGAGTACTAATCTCTAGCTCAGCAACAGCCATGCCTGTGGCTGGTATGGATCCCACTGATCTGCTCCCCAAGCCATGGATTAGCTTTCTGGCTTGACCTGTCTTGACACTAGGGACCTGCCCAGTGATCGATGGACTGTGTGTGACCCTCATTAGACCTCAGTCTGATTTGTGGACTGACTTCCTGGTTTGACCTTGGACCCACCTCATCACAAAAAATTTGTCTGATGACCTGGACTCTTGTTTGAATCTCGCTACCCTTTCCAGGTCTGCCCTGCTCACCTCACTTGGATATTATGGGGACTCTACTTTGAAAAGGACAGAAGCACTTGTCTGTCAGCCTGACCCTGTCTCAAGGGAGGTGTGTTGCCTACCAGGGGCAAGGATCAGGGGTGCTGCAGAGAGGCTGCCGGCACTAGTAAGTTCCATGGACTATTGCAAACTTCTAGTGATATATGCGGGTGCTAGGGACATAGATAGTAGTAGCCTGGGGAACATAAAGAAAGACTACAGAGCCCTGGGAAACGTAGCTCTGGAGCTCAGATAGCCTTTTCGTCAGTTCTCCAGGATAAAGGGCAGGACCTAAAAAAAGCTAGGAGGATTAGCCAGGTTAATAAATGGTTAAAAGGGTGGTGTCATAGACAGGGGTTTGGGTGTCTTGAACATGGGACCCAGGTTTGTAGGCAAGCTCTAGTGGGGGCTGGTGGAGATGGTCTGATAATAACGAAGAGAAAGAGCAGTTTTGGTAGGAGGCTTGCCAGACTGGTCAAGGAGGCTTTAAACTAGATGTGTTGGGAGAGGGGGGCATCATTCCATCCCAACACACCCAGTCAGTTGCCAGCACCTATAATAAATGCTCAGAGCAATGTAGATATATTCCAGCCGCTCCAGCCAATGAGCCAGCTTCATTTGGAGCTCAGCTCAGATGCCTCTATACAAAAGCCCGTAGTATGGGGAACAAACAAGAGGAATTAGAGATGTGTGCACGTCTATGGGGGTATGATATAATAGGCATCACAGAAACATGGTGGGATGGCTCCTATGACTGGAGTGTTGGAATGGAAGGTTACAGGCTTTTTAGAAAAGACAGGCCTGGCAGGCACGGAGGGGGAGTTGCCCTTTATGTTAGGGATAGGTTGGAGAGTATGGAACTCTGTCTGGGGACAGGTGAGCAGTTAACAGAGAGCTTGTGGGTCAGGGTTAAAGGGAAAACAGCTATGGGAGACATTACTGTGGGGATATGTTACAGACCGCCTGATCAAGGAGAACCTGCGGATGAAGCACTCTATAGGCAGATAGGAAAAGCCTCATGCTCACAGGCCCTTGTTCTCATGGGGAACTTCAACCACCCTGACATCTGTTGGAACGATGGTATGGCCCGGCACAAGCAATCCAGGAGGTTCCTCAATTGTGTGGAAGACAACTTCCTTCTGCAAGTAATAGAGGAACCGACAAGGAGAGGTGCCATGCTCGACCTTGTGCTCACAAACAGGGAAGGGCTCATCGGAAATGTGGCACTCCAGGGCAGCCTTGTATGCAGCGACCACGAGATGGTTGAACTTGAGATCCTTAGGACAGTGAGAAGAGCGTGCAGCAAGCTCACTGCCCTAGACTTCAAGAGAGCAGTCTTGGGCCTCCCTGCCCTTACTAAGCAGGTTCCTGAAGAGGCCAAAGACTCTTGGTTGATATTCAAAGATCACCTGCTACAAGCTCAGGAGTGTTGCATCCCAACTAGAAGGAAGTGCAGCAGGAGGGCCAGGAGATCTCCTTGGATGGATAAGGAGCTGCTGAGGAAAATTCAAATGAAAAAAGAGGCTTATAAAAAGTGGAAGCAAAGACAGGCGACCTGGGAAGAGTACAGGGATGTTGTCCGGGAAGCTAGGGACCAGGTTAGGAAAGCCAAGGCCCAGTTAGAATTAAACTTGGCTAGGGATGTTAAGGATAACAGGAAGGGATTCTACAGGTACATAGCAAATAATGAACAGACTAGAGAGAACATAGGCCCCCTCAGGAACCTCTCGGGAGAACTAGCTACACAGAATTTGGAGAAGGTTGAGGTTCTGAATGACTTCTTTGCCTCGATCTTCACTGGCAAAGGCTCTGGCCACACAGCCCAAGTCTTGGAAGGCAGATGCAGGGACTGTGAGAATGAAGACCTTGGGCCCACTGTAGGAGAGGAACTGGTTCGAGACTATCTTAAAAAGCTGAATGTGCACAAGTCCATGGGACCTGGTGAAATCCATCCGCGGGTCCTGAAGGAATGAATGTTGCTAAGGAATGAAGATGCTAAGCCATCATATTTGAAAAATCATGGCAGTCAGGTGAAGTTCCCGATGACTGGAAAAAGGGAAATATAACCCCGATTTTCAAGAAGGGGAAAATGGATGACCCAGGGAACTACAGACCAATCAGTCTCACCTCTGTTCCTGGTAAAATCTTGGAGCAAATTCTCCTGGAAGGCATGCTAAGGCACATGAAAAACGACAAGGTGGTTGGTAACAGCCAGCATGGCTTCCCTAAGGGCAAATCAGGGGTAGAGCAGGTGATATCATCTACCTGGACTTGTGCAAAGCATTCGACACTGTCCCACACGATATCCTTGTCTCTAAATTGGAGAGACATCAATTTGATGGATGGACCACTGGGTGGATAAAGAACTGGCTGGTTGACCACACACAAAGAGTTGTGGTCAATGGCTCAGTGTTCAGCTGGAGACCAGTAACGATTGGTGTCCCTCAGGGATCGGTGTTGGGACATTAGTTCTTGCCAGGAGGAGGAAATCAGCACAAAGCTGAACCTAATCACAAGCTCTTCTGTCATTTTATGTATGTGCTGCTTAAAGTAATGAAAATGAACAACAGAATTGAAATTCAAAGTTCCTATTACTGTCTTTTTTTTTTTTTTCTCCAGATTGTGGGAAAATAACACTGCCAAGAAGTATGCGTTCAGAACTGCATGATATTTTACTTTTATTATCACTTTTAAAAAATTTATGCGTTTTTTGGTATGTGCCCTCTCACATCTACTGGTATCAGACTCCAGTCATATCAACTGCAGATCTGACAAACCTGTCTTTTTCACAAGAGAAGTTAAAGAATTTACACTAGAGGTTCAACTTTGACACATAAATAAGTACAGGTAAGTCTACAGGAACTAGAAATATGAAAAAATAGTTTAATTTAACACTCTACCTCTGTTTCTGCTGCATGGGTTGCTGTCTCATAGCCATATATTGCATGTCCTCTTGTAGCCGATTAAGGGGAGAATCTGGTTTGACACGAATCCCATAATAATGGTATTTGGAGTTCCCCCTTTATGAAAGAACAAAAATAACATTAATTTTATGCATACGCATCATACTTCACAATTTGCCTTGACTGGAAAACTGTACATAAAAGGTAGACTTTACTTTCCTCTTGCCCTAGTATAAAACTAGGTTATACCAGTTTCTGTAAATCAGTTCACAAACTATATTTTCCAGTACTTTACAGCTGGACTTCATTTAAATAGAATGAGGAAAGTAAAAACCAAATACATTACTTATGCAGTCGTGAATAAAACAATTCCATGCTTGTGTTTGTGTATGTTTCACTAGTCAACTTCAGTCCTGATAAGCTGGAGAGGAAGAACAGGATTGGGCTATCTGTGTTCATGTTTATGTGAGTGCTATTGGTGTCTATGTGGGTGCTGAAAAAGGCATTGCTCTATGTTAACTTGTTTGGTTAGCTGTGTTAGTGCCATGCGTGTGTTTATCTGCATCTTTGGAACACATGTTCAGTCTCACTTCCAGCTGGAACTGCAAATGGAAACAGCAGTAGATGCATTCATTGGTCTGAGATGAAGGATATCTGGGTCTTAAGGGTACACAGACTCTAGCTATAGCAGACCAGGAGTTCCCTGTGTCCTGAAGTCCACTGGATTTTGTAACTCCCTTACCGGTAGGGTTTTAAATATTTTTTGTTTGCTTGCTTGCGTTTAGCATACAAGATTCACATTCACATTCACACACCATTGATATTTTCATTAATGCAAACCTGGTTCCCAGTCTTCTGGTCCGTAATCCCATGAATATTGACCGTATGAGTTTTCCAAAAGAGGCAGCATTGACTGGATCTAACTTGTGCTCCTGACAGTGACGTAAATAATGGTTGTAAAGGGTACTTCTGGGGAGGCTCACTCCTTCTGCAGTTTCGTAGTTGTCTAAAAGCCATTGGAGCTATATCAAATATGAAAGAGTGAACATATGTAAATTCAGTATTACTCTACTAAAAAAAAAATCTTAACTGTACAACACAGATCTCATATTTTTTATACCACTCTTAAGGCCTTTTTAATACAGTGACTTTGTTTTTCAATCAAATATATTCTCTGTAAGTCTCTTTCAATGCTAGATATGCCATGATGACTTAGTATATTTTAGAATTACAAGGAAATAGGAAAGCTAATTGCATTTGTGACCTCAGATAGATCCACTTTTAAAAATATTTCAGATTCAGTACCATAACAATAACATTTTATGAAGTTATTTGTGCTTTGGAGACAAATTGTTGGAACTCCAAGGAAGTAAAACAATCAATATAATATATATTGACTGCAGGAAAAAAACCTAAAAGGAGTAAGTTACTACATTTTTAATTATGGAATATTATACTATTTATCTTCCCCCAAAATTGAAAAAAAAAAGCAAATGAAAAAAAAACAGTACTTCATTTAATGGAATAGGGTTTATTTTCTTCCAAATACAATGACGAAACTAACAAATATAAGGCAACAAGCAATCTAGATGACATGAAAAATAACTAGTACATCTTTAAAATATTATGGGCCAAGTCCCTTTGTGTTTTAGACTGTTTGCATTTGACCTCAAAGAGAAACAGAATTAGGTTGTTGGGGGGGTTTTAACCATTTAGTTTAATGTAGGATTTTCGTGAGCAATTTTGGTAGAATGTAAGCAGTTCCTAATGCACCATTGTACTTTTGTGTAGAATAATTAGAAATTAAACTTATATTTAAAATGTAGCATTATTCACATGTAAAGGAAAAATGGACTTTCAGGGGAAGATGCAGCTATACCTGGTATGCCAGGAATGTGCACTCCACAGCGGTTCCTGTGGCAACATTGATGGAGGATGGAGCAGAGTGGAGATTCTGCAGCCATGCTCTGTCCTAACACCAGCAGAGATGGGAACTAGGTGGTAATAGAAACTTGTAAGCTGCATAATTGCTACCCTGAGCCAACAGTCTGTCATCCTTTGACAAAGTGCTGCCTTTTGTGCAAACTTTGCTTCATTATAATGAATTTTGATACATTATAATACAAAAACACACCTCCATCTCTAATGCTACCTGCTTCCAAAGTGAGATCACACCTCTTTGAGCATGCTCTTTGAATTCTTTGCGGTATATACCTTTAAAAGTGAAGCGAGAGAATTTTACACCGATAATAATAGAGGTATGTATGACTAGAGTCACTCAAGCTCAACCTTCAAGTTGAAAAATAGTATAAAATGACCCAACAAAGGGGGAATACTGGGGAAGACATCATCATGGACAAGTTGAGGAAAATTCCATCAGCAGATTGCCCTTGACTCCTGGGACTGGTCGACGGGCTGGACGTTTCTTGGGGGGGGGCCCCCCCTCCCCGGATGACTTGCACTGTATTAAGTTCTTCCTCGGGAAAATCAAGGGTCTCTATATAGAGTTACTTTTCACTTTTTACTTTTATATTTTAAAGACAGGCTGTGGTATTCATAAATTTATTGCGCGTTTGTAAAACTTATTATTTGCACATGCTTTTGCAGACAGTGTATTTATCACCAGCAATCCATAAGAACCTGTATATGTTGATTTAATAAACTGCACTGTTTAAGTGGCTAATCGTAACAGTTTTCTCATTGAATGTGACCAAATCCTTCAGTGTGTCCATGTTAGCTCATCAGCATGATTAGACTGAAGGTGCAGTGCGCTATTAGTGCATCCAGAATCGTGATTGTTCAATATATCAAATGTGATCAGACTGAAAGTGGCAAATTGGGCATCACTCAGAATTTAAGCCTAGCCTCACCCAGCCCTTCTAATATCTAAGGGCCAGCTGGAATGCAAGGGTGTTTATGTTCTGCCAAATTGTCTTGCCTTTTAATGAGACACTTTGTATAGAACAAATAGTAACTAAAATACACACAGACCCTAAGAAAAATGGTCACTTAAATGACATTTAAGAGCATAGGAAAACAGCAGAATAAAATGGAAATATTTTTATAGTGGTCATAAGTAAATTATGAGGTTTCAGATTTTTTTTTGATGCTAACATTTTACTTATCTTTTACTCCCTGCCCCCATGGTTTCATATCCCTGGAATTTTCCTTTTATTTCAGCTTGAATAATTCCCAAATCTTGTTTTCTGCTTAATATTCATTTAAGTAGCTGGTGAATGATGCTGCTAAGCCACTATCCACTATCCATCATATTTGAAAAATCATGGCAGTCAGATGAAGCCCCCAATGACTGGAAAAAGGGTAATATAACCCCCATTTTCAAGAAGAGGAAAATGGATGACCCAGGGAACTACAGACCAAACAGTCTCACCTCTGTGCCTGGAAAAATCTTGGAACAGATCCTCCTGGAAGGCATGCTAAGGCACATGAAAAACAACAAGGTGCTTGGTGACAGCCAGCATGGCTTCACTAAGGGCAAATCATGCCTGACCAATTTGGTGGCCTTCTATGATGGGGCTACGGAACTGATGGACAGGGGTAGAGCAGCTGACGTTATCTACCTGGACTTGTGCAAAAGTGTTCAACACTGTCCTGCATGACATCGTTGTCTCTAAATTGGAGAGGCATCAATTTGATAGATAGACCACTGGGTGGATAAAGAACTGGCGGGATGGCCACACACAAAGAGTTGTGGTCAATGGCTCAATGTCCAGCTGGAGACCAGTAACGAGTGGTGTCCCTCAGGGATCGGTGTTGGGACTGGTTCAACAAGTTTGTTAGTGACATGGACAGTGGGATTGAGTGCACCCTCAGCCAGTTTGCCAATAACACCAAGCTGTGTGGTTCGTCTGATAAGCTGGAGGGAAGGGATACTATCCAGAGGGATCTTGACACGCTTGTGAGGTGGGATGATGCCAACCTCATGAAGTTTAACCATGCTAAGTGCAAGGTCCTACACCTGGGTCGGAGCAATCCCAGGCACAGCTACTGGCTGGGCAGAGAAGAGATTCAGAGCAGCCCTGTTGAGAAGGACTTCGGGGTGCGAAAATGGGTGAGAAAATGAACATGAGCCGGCAGTGTGCGCTCGCGACCCTGGAAGCCCACTGTATCCTGGGCTGCATCAAAAGGAACATGACCAGCAGGTCAAAGGAAATGATCCTGTCCCTCTACTCTACTCTCATGAGACCTCACTTAGAGTATTGTGAATAGCTCTGGTATCCTAAACATAAAAAAGACATGGAACTGTTGGAACAAGTCCAGAGGAGGACCACAAGGGTGACTGGGGACTGGTGCAACTCCCGTATGAAGATAGGCTGAGAAAGTTGGGGCTGTTCATCTGGGAGAAGAGAAGGCTGCATGGAGACCTCATGGCAGCCCTCCAGTATCTGAAGGGGGCTATAGGGATGCTGGGGAGGGACTATTCGTTAGGGACTGTAGTGATAGGACAAGGGGTGATGGGTTAAAACTTAAACGGGGGAAGTTTAGATTAGATATAATGAGGAAGTTTTTTACTGTGCGGGTAGTGAGGCACTGGAACAGGTTGCCCAAAGAAGTTGCGAATTCTCCATTCCTGGTGGTGTTCAAGGCCAGGTTGCACAGAGCCTTGGGTGATATGGTTTAGTGCGTGGTATCCCTGCCCATGGCAGGGGGCTTGGAACGAGATGATATTAAGGTCCTTTCCAACCCTAACCATTCTATGATTCTAAGTACATTTTACTAATGATCTGTATTTGACAGATATTCTTTCAACTGCAGCTTGGTATTAGCCAACAGTGGCAAAGCAAAACTCAATCTAAGTACAAAAATAAGGATTTTTTTCTAGAATGAAGATATTTAGTAACAAAAACTCAAAGTGATTGAAGTGAGGTTACAGACTGAAGAGTGCCAATATCTTAATACCATATAAAAAGGTAAATAATATGCAGATATGATAAAGTTATTGCAAACAGCTTCAAACATATTTTTGTATTTGCAGAAATCTAATTCTAAAATTGGAATGTGCTTAGGTTTTTTTCTCTCTTGTTGATTTATGGCATTGAAAATATTGGAATGGTATCTAAAGGTTTACACAGAACAGGTAAATTGATTCCAACTTCAATATTTACAAAACATGAGATTATAAATTAAGTAATTCAGTTGCATGAAGAAAGAAATCAGGAAAGGAAATAAAATTGAAAAAGATGAACAAGCATTAACTTAGGCAACAAAATGACAGTTTAAGGAAGAAGATAGGACTAAAACCATATTTACTGTCCTTATTTGAGTCCTAATTCAATAAACATTTTAAAAATATGGAAAACACCCACTAAGTTTGATTTGGGTTACATTAATTTATTCTGACATGACTGAGGCTAGGAAAGAACAATTATCATAGCAAGATGCATGAAGATATTTTTTTTCTTCACAAAATCAACAATAGATCCCTCAATTTACCTTTCAGTAGCTTTGAAAATACCTCAAAACAGTTAAGAAAAATCAGGATTCGTCTACCATAACAGACAGATGCAAATCTCATTATGAGGAAGATCATGGAATCATGGAATCATAGAATGTTTTGGATTGCACCTGCCATGGGTAGGGACACCTTTCGCTATCGGGTCACTCAAAGCCCTATCCAAACTGTCCTTGAACTCTTCCAGGGATGGGGCATCCACGACTTTTCTGGCAACCTGTTCCAGTGTCTCACCACCCTCATTGTAAAGAACTTTCTTTATGAGGTCCAATCTAAACCTACCCTCTTCCAGTTTTAAACCATTGCCTCTTGTCCTGTGTCCTGGGTTCAGCAGTAGCAGTCATTTTTCTCCTTCTTAGTTGCTGGTGCAGTGCTGTGTTTTTTGCTTTCATCTGGGAACAGTGCTGATAACACACCAATGTTTTTAGTTGTTGCTAAGTAATGCTTACTCTGACCAAGGATTTATTCAGTCTCATGCTTTGCTAGTGAGGAGGGGCACAGGAAACCAGGAGGAAACAGAGACAGGACACCTGACCCAAATTAGCCAAAGGGATATTCCATACCACAGCACATCATGCCCAGTATATAAACTGGGGAGTTACCCAGAAGGCCCAGATTGCTGCTCAGGTCAGGCTGGGTATTGGTCAGCAGGTGGTGAGCAATTGTATTCTCTCCCTTATTGTTATTTCCCTTATCATTATTATTATTGGTGGTAGTAGTAGTAGTTTTATATTATACCTTAGTTACTGGACTGTTCTTATCTCAACCCATGGGATTTACATTTTTTTTTTATTCTCCTCCCTATCACTCTGGGAGGGGGGGGGGGGGGGAGTGAGCGAGTGGCTGCTTGGTTCTGAGTTACCTTCTGGCCTTAAACCATGACATCCTGTTACTAAAGGCCCTGGTAAAAATTCTCTCTCCATCTTTCTTAGTTTAAATATTGAAGGGCCACAGCAAGGTTACCCTGGAGCCTTCTCTTCTCTAGGCTGAACCACCTCACCTCTCCCAGCCTGTGTTCTTTCTAGCCCTTTGATCATTTTTTGTGACCTTCCTCTAACCAACTCTATATCACTATCTTTCCTTGTCCACCAATGCAGTCCCTCCATCATAGAAGGCCACTAGATTAGTCAGGCATGATTTGCCCTTGCTGAAGCCATGTAGGCTGTCTCTAATCACCTCCCTGTCTCCCTTACTTTTACTTAATTCCCAGGAGGATCTGTTCCATTGTCTTTTAACTAGATTATTACACAGGAAATAGGGGAATACAGTTTTCTGATGCAGAAAAGCTTGTCCTTTAATTCTTATTGGCTTCAGCGTGAAGATTTTGGACTTCCTTGTGAGATTCAAGGCAGACATCAATTCTTTGTACACCTAAATTTTAAAACTTTTTATTGGCATTTTGCAAAAAAAATTATCAACCATTTAATTATTATAATATAAATATTTTAGCATATTTCTAGGTTGTTTTAACATCCAAACAATTATTTTAAAAACATCCAGAATGAATTTCTTCATATTTTACAGAATTCATCTAACTTTATCATTTTCTAAGAAAAATAAATTCTCTTCCAAGAAATTGTACTGGTTTCTGCTGTCTTTTTCTACCATGATGATAAACTGAGAAAAATTTTGGCTTTTGCTTCCATAGTACCACATTCTTGGAGGGGTGGGAAGTGTGTGTCAACAAATCAAAATATACTAATACATTCATATCACAATCAGTATTTACATTTCTGTGGTAAAAGAATACAAGAATCTGAAAAAAGTAAGCTTATGTTGTTTAGTAAGGTTGAGAATCAAAAAGGATGCAATAGGTATAGAGATTTAGCAGCATTAAAAAATACAAAACTATTTCCAGAAACCAAAGAAAAAAACGTGTTGTTTGTATAACATTTCAAAAAAGACTAGCACTGCTTAAAAATAAACTGAAGATTAAACTTTGAGCCTTTCTCCTTTACCTAAATGTTATATTTAATGGCTTTACATTAAAATCTGCAGAACAGGCACATACGTTAAGCTGTGTTAACACACTACAGAACCTAGAAATGTACAATATTTCATGACAACGTGACAAAATAGTGACAGAAGATGTAAATTGCAAGCAACTAAAATGGAAAGATTAAAAGCAAAAAGTAGCACTAAATTAAAACAAACAATTACAGGCAGTCTAAGTATGCAGAACAAGTTTTCATGAAAGAGACAACTTACATGACTGTTGAGAAGAGAGCTTCTGTGAGTAGAAAGACCATCAGAATTTTGTAGTGTCTCAATCGCCATTTCAATCTGATAATAGATGTCATTAAAAATGACTTAAGACAGTAAAAAAGGATGATCATAAAAAGTATAGATTGCCTTAAAATCTACAGAAATACCTAGTTCACTCATGGCTAAAGTATATTTCCTGCTTAAAGGCCTCATCCTGAAGTCACTATAAGGGCAAACCTCACCAGCGAAGTCAGGGAGGCATTTTGATTCCATATATACTACAGGATCCCACTTCCAAAGTCCAATTTAACTTCCCCCTTGCTCATGAAAGAAGAGAAGTGGATTTACCAGTAAGCTACATTGCAAACTGTAACAATTGCTGAATAATCATTCTTAATAGAAGAAAAAAAGTCAGAATGATATTCTAAGAAAGGTCTCAGCGTTTCTTCCTCCAAGTATTTGAGAAAAACCTGTGCACACTCTTCAGAGAATGTGAATTAGAATAAAAATTTCTGGTCTCTGTAACCAGGGAGTAAAATCTCAGTCATTCAGTAGTTTTCATTGGACAGGATATCATCCCTACAGCCTGTCAGAGCATTCCTTGAATATCCAGAGCTCTCAAAGCAAATGAAAATTGAAGGTTTACACAGACAGCAAGATCCATCCTTAAAAAAAAACCCAATAAAATAAAACACACAAACAAAAAAAACCCCACACAGATGGGTTTAGAATAATACTTTTAAAAGAAAAAGTATTATATATCACTAATTATACAGTAGTATTACTTCTATTACAAATGTGTAGAGACAACCATACCCATTCCCATTGTTTCCCTCCATATTAATACATCTTTTGATTAATTCTATGAGAGCATAAGAATAAAATTGCAGTCTAACTGTAGTTTAGCTGCAGAGCTAGAATAGCAAAAAACATTGAAAGTGATAGAGACAATAGGATGTACAGTAAAAGAAGGCACATCATTAGCCACATTAAATGGAATTAAAAAAACCCAAAACAAACCACAAAAGCAATGGAAAAACATCTGTACATTTTAAACCACATATTCCCACTGTAGACAGTTTTAAAATAAGTCTTCCATATCCTTCTTTAATTATTACAGTATTATCCAAAGTTTATGCTGGTAAATTACACTACTAAAATGAGTACACTCAATATACAGCACAAAACTGGAAAATAATTCAGACTATATTTCAATTAGTCCAAAACCACAATTTGTTTTCCCTTTTTTATAAGCTAATAAACTAGTGCTTTACTCAGTAGTTCTCAGTGAAGAAGGAAGTCTTTCTTACAACTGTCTAATGTTAGAAATATAAGCTTTTTTTTGAAAGCATACATGTATCTGATTGGTATGTAAAAAAAATACTTCAATATTACAAAAATAATGTTTAAATCCAGATTTGGATTAAATCCAAATGTCAGCTAGTCTTCAAAAAGGACAAGGAGGAGGACCCTGGGAACTACAGGTCAGTCAGCCATACTGTAATGTCTTATCCTGAAGGCCATCTTTAAGCATGTGGAAGACGAGAAAGTAATCAGGAGTAGTCAGCATGGATTCACCAAAGGGAAATCATGCTTAACCAGCCTGATTGCCTTCTATGATGGAATAACTGTCTGGATAGATGAAGGAAGATCAGTTGATGTTGTCTACCTGGACTTAACCAAGGCTTTCAACGCTGCCTCTATGACATTATCATAGGCAAGCTCAGGAAATGCAGGCTGAATGAGTGGATGATGGGGTGGATTAAGAACTGGCTGAATTGCAGGTCTCAGAGGGTTGTGATCAGTGGTACAGAGTCTAGTTGGAGACTGGTAACTAGCAGTGTCCTCCAAGGGTCAATACTGAGTCCAGTATTGCTTAATTTGTTCATCAGCAACTTGGATGAAGGGCTAAAGTGCCTCCTCAGCAAGTTTGCTGAAGATATAAAACTGGAAGGAGTGGCTGATACCCCAGAGTGCTGTGCTGTCAGTCAGAAGGATCTAGACAGGCTGAAGAGATGGGTAGAGACAAGCCTTTTGAAATTCAGCAAAGGCAAGTTCAGGATTCTGCATCTATGGAGGAATAACATGATGCACCAGTACAGCATGGGGGCTCACCTGCTGGACAGTAGCTTTGTGGAGAAGGACCTGGGGGTCCTGGTGGACAAATTGTCCACTGATTTGGAGAATCAATGTCTCACTATGAGCCAGCAATGTGCCCTTGTAGCCAAGAAGGTCATTGGTATCCTGAGCTGTATTAGGAAGAGCATTGCCATCAGTTTTGGGAGGTATTCCTCCCTCTCTACTCAGCCCAAATGATGCCTCACCTGGAGTACCGTGTCCAGTTCTGGGCTCCTCAGTATGAGAGAGACACAGAGCTCCTGGAGCTACTAGAATGATTAAGGGTCTGGAGCATCTCTCATATAAGAAAAGGCTGAATGAGCTAGGCCTGTTCATCCTAGAGAGGGGAAGGCTCAGGGGGGATCTGATCAATGTGTATATATATCTGAGGGAGGGTGCAAAGAGGATGGTGCCAGACTCTTCTTGGTGCCATGCGATAGGACAAGAGGCAACAGGCATAAACTACAACACAGGAAGTTCCACATGAACATGAGGAGGAACTCATTTATATTATTATACTGGTTTTTTCTCAACCCATGAGTTTTCTCACTTTTACAACTGTTACAACAGTTCTGTCCCCCATCCCACTTGGGGGGGGGGGGGGGGGGGGTGAGCAAGCAGCTTCAGGGTGCTTAGTTTCTTGCTGGGGTTAAACGATGACGGCAATCACTTAATACTTTTCACATACAGAAAGTTAAACTAAATGTATATATTTGTAAGACAAAGCCATACAATACTGATTCTGCCAACATAATATGCTTTTTGCTACAGAAATATGTCAGCACACAGGAACATCATAGTGACTAAGAAACTATCTCCAAAAAAATGAACATAGTTCTGAAGTACTTACTGTAGCTGGGGAGGCCCGCGTTGTATGAGTCACTGAATGACCAGAATTTTCCATTGAATTGCCAATAAGATAGGTCCCTCCTGAGCTGCTAATGAACTGTCCTCCTGCAACACCCATCTGAATCCCTCCGGTGGCCACCATACTATGAGAGGAGACCACTGTAGTTGCCTGTGCAGAGCTTCCTTGAGTATCGAAGTAATTTCCCCCAGTGTTTTGGCTATACATCTGGGTTTCCGTGTAAGGGTAAGTTGTTTGACTTCAGGAAGAGAAAACAAAAGAAGAAGTAGTTACTTATGTAGATTGTTTAAGCAAGGGAAACATCATTGTAGAAAAAAGCATATGGTTGCAATAACAAAACTCAACAGGATTGGCAAATAAACCCTGCCTCCACACAAAATAAATTTCATATGTTAAAGTACCGAGTAATTAACATGGACTGACTGCTAAAATCAGTATTCATTAAAAGTCACAGAAAGTGTTTTGATTACCATCTGAAGAAGGGTAAAGTATGACAAGAATTGAAGACATGAGAGGAAGATGACATTCGTGTATTAATAAATTATACAGGAATTTCTAAAACAGTTCTAACTTTTAAAATCCTATGGTCAAAGCCGTATCTTTATTTAGATGCCATTTATTTTGCATACCATGGTCCCAGTTTCAGTTGGGAGTGTTCTTTCTAGTAGCTGGTGCAGTGCTGTGTTTTATTTTTATGCTGAGAATAATGTTGATAACACACTTGACACAAGAACCTGGGAGGGGGCACAGCCAGGACAGCTGACCTAAACTGGCCAAAAGGATATCCCATACCACAAAGCTTCATGATCAGTATATAAACTGAATTAGCCAGAAGGGATCGATTGCTGCTTGGAACAGGCTGGGTATCGGTCAGAGGGTGGTTGTCATGGTTTAACCCCAGCCAGACAGCTTGTGCACTCATTCCCAGTGAGTGATGCCAGGCTGGAAGCAAACAAGGCCCACGTTCCACCCCCCCCTCCCCAGGGGTATGTACCTCAAGGGGATTCTTAACATGAGCCATCAGTGTGCGCTTGCAGCCCAGAAAGCCAACCGTACCCTGGGCTGCATCAAAAGCAGCGCGCCCAGCAGGTCGAAGGAGGTGATCCTGCCCCTTTATTATGCTCTTGTAAGACCTCACTTGGAGTATTGTGTACAGTTCTGGTGTCCTCAGCATAAAAAGGACATGGATCTGTTGGAACAAGTCCAGAGGAGGACAACGAGAATGATCAGGGGACTGGAGCACCTCCCATATGAAGATCGGCTGAGAAAGTTGTGGCTGTTCAGCCTGGAGAAGAGAAGGCTGCGTGGAGACCTCATAGCAGCCTTCCAGTATCAGAAGGGGGCATATAAGGATGCTGGGGAGGCACTCTTCATTAGGAACTGTAGAGACAGGATAAGGGGCAATGGGCTAAAACTTAAACAGGGGAAGTTTAGATTGGATATAAGGAGGAATTTCTTTCCTGTTAGGGTAGTGAGGCACTGGAATAGGTTGTCCAGGGAGGTTGTGAATGCTTCATCCCTGGCAGTGTTCAAGGCTAGGTTGGACGAGGTCTTGGGTAATATGGTTTAGAGCAATGTCGTGGTTTAACCCCACCCAGACAGCTTGTTACCCACTCCCCCCCCTTTCTTGCCCTCCCCCTACTCCTGGAGGTACGGAGAGGAGAATCAGAAAGAATGCACCTCCCACGGGTTGAGATAAGAACAGTTTAGTAACTAAGGTATAACACAAATCACTACTGCTACCACCAATAATAGTAATGATAAAGGAAATAACAAGGGAAGAGAATACAACACCCCATCACCAGGTGACCGATAACTTGCCCCCCCAGCCCAACCAAGCACCGACCGATACCTCCTCCAACGCTGCAGTCCACTCTAGCTTTTTCGGGTAACTCCCAGTTCCCTCCTGGGCATGACGTGCTGTGGTATGGAATACCTCTTTGGTCAGTTTGGGTCAGGTATCCTGTCTCTGATTCCTCTCAGCTTCCCTCCTCCCTGGCAGAGCATGAGGCTCACAAAGTCCTTGGCCAAACCAAAACATCATTGTTATCAGCTCTGTTCCCAGATGAAAGTCAAAACACAGCACTGCACCAGCTACCAAGAAGGAGAAAAATGACTGCTACTGCTGAACCCAGGACAGCAAGGTGTCCCTGCCCATGGCAGGGGGGTTGGAACTTGATGATCTCAAGGTCCTTTCCAACTCTAACTATTCTATGATTCTATGATTCTAGTCTATGCCAAGGATGCACGGAGCCTCTGGACCAGTCACATTAGGGTGCTTTTGCCACTCTCTCCCAGTCAGGCTGATTTCAGCCTCCAGTACAGTCAACTCTTGGGATCCTCCTGTCACTCCAGAAATATAGATGGGTTCCACCCCTTGACAGCTTGATGGCATCAGGGTACACTGTGCACCGGTATCTACTAGAGCCTAATACTTCTGTGGGGCTGATCCACACAGTCCAGTAAATACAATTGTCCCCTACCTCCACCTGGCTGGAGGCAGGGCCCCTCTCATAGTCATCACAAAGTAGGACACTTAAGTCATGTTGAAAGGGATTATTTTTAGTTATCACAGGAGCTGGAGTAAAATCAGCTCTTCCACTCCACCTGGGAAACTGCTCAAAAGAGACTGAAGCCGTAGCTCTCATGGGACGATCAGTCTTGGCCTTTGCTCCTCTTTTCAATTCACCCGTTCCTCCAAGACTGAAGTGGGTTTTCCATCCCACTTTGTCATGTTTTCTCCATGATACCGCAGGTAAAACCATAGGGTAGACCATGGCGTATACCTCTTGTATCTCCTCTCTCGAACAGTGGGACGCCTTTTGTTAATAGCTGAAACGTGTGTTGGTACACGCGAGGAGCTGGATAAGTCAGGTATATCGTCCCTCAATTGTTTGAGATCCTGGGACAGTTTTTCCACAGCTGAGATGATGGAAGGGGTGAGACTGTCTTCGAACTCGCGGAGTTTATGAACCATTTCATCCACTGTTAGTGGTACTACGTCATTCCAGGTTACTGTTGCCAATGAATGGGCATATGATGATGGTGCATTCCGTGTAAGTTTTCGCCACATGGGTTGTGTACATTCGACTTCATCTGGATCTATGGGTATATTCCCGTTATTCGGCTTGATGTGATAGATCATCTCTACGATGGCTGATTCTCTCAGAGACTGGATGCCTTTGTCTATAGTAGTCCACTTGGCCGAACGACTCATAACATTGTCCTTGTATGGAAACCTTTCTTTCACAGCTGCCAAGAGCCACCTCCAAAGACTGAGGGACTTTTTCTCTCTTGCAATTGCTTTGTCAATTCCCCCTTCTCTAGCAAGTGATCCCAGCTGCTTGGCTTCTGTACCTTCTAGTTCGTGACCATCGGCCCCATTGTCCCAGCATCGGAGCAACCAGGTGATGATGTGCTCCCCTGGTTGACGGGTAAAATCTTTTCGCATATTCCGTAGCTCGGTTGAGGTCCGAAGTCGAGAAGTCACCTCTCCTTCTTCTTCATCATGTGATGATGACTCTTGATCAGGTTCTGGATCAGGTAGTGAATACATTGTTTCTTCATCTTGCTTTAACCTTCTTGCCTCCTTTTTGCTTTTTCTCTTGCGTACAGGGGCAACCGATATTGGTACGAATTGGTCCTCTGGTTTAGTTGCAGTGATTATCACTGTGGTTTGAGTAGCGACTGTACTTGTTGCTGGGGGGGGTGTGGCTGCTGTGCTTGGAGCTGGGATAGCTGTGCTGTCTGTTGCAGTCAAAGTTTGAGTAGCTGCTGTACTTGCCGCTGGGGTAGCTGTGCTGTTCATTGCAGCCAAAGTTTGAGTAGCGACTGTACTTGTTGCTGGGGGTGGTGTAGCTGTTGTACTTGGAGCTGGAGTAACTGTACTGACTGTTGCTTTGCCCTCAGATCCAGCGACATTATTTTTCCATTTGAAGGTGCTGGAAAGCATTGAACATGGCCCTGTAAGCATAGGCCAAGCCCCAGCATGATGCCATGATTTGTCCGTCTCTGGTATGGCCAGAATGACCACACACCTCATTTAAGTGTTTTACTAATTCTTCTGGATTTTGCAGTTGTTCTGTGGTGAAATTCCGAAGTACTGGAGGGGCCCACTGACCTAGATACTTGCCCATACTGTCCCACACACCCTGCCACTCATGACTGTCCAGCCTCAGAGAAAATCTCTTGGTCCTCCTACTTCGTCATTTAACCCCAGACAAGACCCAAACCTGACTCTGCTTAACTTCTGAAAACAGATGAAATAGTTGTGGGCAAAATACACTCTGTATACGTGCCAACATGGTGATCCCCATCACAATCAGCAAACAAGTCTCAACAGCATTAAGAGGCCATTCAAAACTCTCAAATGATGCTGTAAATGCTCTGGGGGGAGGACTCCGAGGGTAAAAGAATGTCTCCTTCACAGGTTGACCACCCGAGAAGGAGAAAAAAGATGTGTAATTGCTAAGCACTCCTATTATATACCTCCCAACGTATAAAGGTGGTGACCATACTGGGAACATAAGCCAGATAAGTTTCATGATCAATAATTCTATTGCATTACAGGTCATTACCATAAAGTACAATGAGACAAAAACTTTAGCCCAAGCCCCACACTTGAAAAACACTAATACAGCAAATACCAGATGGAAGTAAGGTACGATATACTGAAACTGTGAGATCAAGAGGAACAACTTTGAGAGCCAATAAATCAGCATTGTGAAGAGTGCCTATTAATCCGGTCAGATCTGTCGTTATCTCAACCCCTTCGTGCCCCACGCTGGGTGCCAAAAAGAACTGTTGTGGTTTAACCCCAGCCAGACAGCTTGTGCACTCACTCCCAGTGAGTGGTGCCAGGCTGGAAGCAATCAAGGCCCACATTCACCCCCCCCTCCCCAGGGGCTGCCCCCCCTTCCCCGCTCCCAGAGGGATGGGGAGGAGAATTGAAAGAATGCAACTCCCACGGGCTGAGATAAGAACAGTCCAGCAACCAATGTACAAGACAAATCACCACCGCTACCACCACTAACAACGATAAGAGATAGTAGCAAGGGAAAAGAGTACAGTACCACGCGCCGAACAACGAGTCCGACGCAGCAGACCCCCTGTCCTTCCAGGTCAATCCCAGTTCCCCCCTCGGCATGACGTGCTGTGGTATGGAATACCTCTTTGGTCAGTTTGGGTCAGGTGTCCTGTCTCTGCTTCCTCCCGGCTTCCCTTCCTCCCTGGTAGAGCATGAGGCTCACAAAGTCCTTGGCCAAACCAAAACATCATTTTTATCAGCTTTGTTCCCAGCCCGAAAGTCAAAACACAGCACTGCACCAGCTACCAAGAAGGAGAAAAAATGACTGCTACTGCTAAACCCAGGACAGT